CTAGAGAGCTGAAATTTTATGGGAATGTTCCCCGTCCAAGTAGGTACTGGTGAGCCCAAACCCAATCCCCGGGTAGGCGTGGTACCTGCGTATGGGCCCGCCAAAGTTTTTCCTGCGTAAATTCATAACTCGGGGATCTGAGGTGCTAGAAAGCTGAAATTTTAAGGGAATGTTCTCCGTCCTAGTAGATGCTAATGGGCTCAAACCCAACCCCCGGGTAAGCGTGGTACCCGCGTACGGGCCAGCCAAAGTTTTTCTTGCGTAAATTCATAACTCGGGGATCTGAGATGTTAGAAGATTGTAACATTAAGAGGGTGTTTCTCATCCTCGTCTCAACGAGATCAAATCCAGCCCTCGGTCATGCGTGGTACCTACGCACGGGTTCACCAAAGTTTTCTCGGGTAAGCTCGTAACTCGAGAACCTGTAAAGCTAAAAGACTGTAGTTTTAGAAAGATGTTCCCCGTCCAAGTAAGTCTCGAGAAGCTCAAACCCAGACATTGGGTATGCGTGGCACCCGAGTGTGGGCTCGTGAAATACTTTTCCCAATAAATTGCTAACTCAGGAGCCAAGAAACCTAGAAAACTGAATTTTAATGGGGTTTTTCCTGCCAGTTTTGGCGGCTAGTCTTAATTTGTTTAGCTAGAAGGATCTGCCGAAAAAAACGATGCCGGTAGCGACAAAAGCTGCGGGGAACTATGCAAAAAACGCATCACCGCACGGACAGCCCGTGCGTTGGCCAATTATTGTGGCAATGTTCTGAGCACACAGTGAGCTAATGCGCCTCGCATACGAAAGTTGATCTGTATTAAAGGCGGTGTTTTTTAACCTATTTACTGCATGAAAAGCACTGTGGTATTATTTTCTTCGTTTTGTACGGTAATCTATGTTTACGTTCAGACAAGGGGCAAAAAATCATGCAGTGAATTTTTATTATTCACGCAGCGTACTGGGAGCACAAATCCAAAAAGTTTAAGTTCTTAGCCATCTCTTTTTGTTTTCACAAAATGGGCTGACACTGCATCTGAGAACACAAGCTGCTTCAATTCAAAATGATGTCACTTACTTCATACAGCGTACTGAACCAGACTTTCTTTGTTCTTACGTTACATTAATTTGAATTTGAACTTTAGGTTAGGCTGCAACGACACTAACCCCCCCTTCCCTTCCCCAAATTTTCAGTTTTTAGCCTTGTTTGGCTTGAATTTGGATCTGAGGTCAGAGTTCTTGGTAGAGCAACTGCAAGTAGCTTTAAGTGTCTACTTTTATCTGTAGCTCCGAAGGTGAGTTATGCAGGCATGCACATACATCGGATTACGCGTTTTCTTGCATTTCTTGCATCTGTTATGCAAAAGCGTGCACTCTTAATAAATGACCCTCTAAATAATTTTTCAAAATCAGTTCCTTTCTGTATGCTTTTCCTGTTGTTTAGCGCTATCTGTATGGGCAGCTGCTTGCACTATTTTTCTCGCTGTATTGCATCTTTTCGTATGTGAACTGGCAACCGAATGAAACTGCAGCCGACGTGATGGGTGGAATTGCAGCTGCCATGCAAATTATCAGCTTGGGTGGACAAATTTATGAAATTGTATGTTCATTTTTCAGTCTTTTAATTTAAATTCAAGTATTTTGGAGCTTTTTCTATTATCGAAGATTCGGCACTAATAGCTAGGATAATTTGAATGGGCTGGTTTTCTTCCAGTGGTCTGAGCGAAATGTTATTGATGCTTAGTTGTTACATCGTTGCGTTTCTCCGCGCTGCTGCTATTGGCATTTTCTCCACTCTTTTCTCTTTTGGGTCTCTGTCACCAAATAATTCGGTACAGCCGTTCGAGTAGATCTTCCTGTTATATTGGCAGCCTTATATTATTTAATATTGAATAAGGAAGCCTTCTGTAATCTGCTTTGCCATTCTTGTCACATGATCGGTCTAACCATTTTTCATTGGCATTCCTGCAGTACTTCATCGAATGTGTGTTTCAAACTAGAGATAGATACCATATATCATTTTCGTGTTTCTTTGCATCATCGGTAAATTGCTCACCTAAGAAAAAGCGAAAAAATGTGCACAACTAAAAAAATGGATTGCTTGAGACTCTTAAAAGACATCCACCATTAGGACTTTCATGCAGGATTCTGTTTTGGGTCTGTCTGGATAAATAACATTGGATGGACAACGGCTCGTAGGCATGATTTTTGCCTTGTGTTGATTAAGCAGCGTGAGGTTCAGAGTTATTCGGAAAAATAAAATCAAATTTTAAAGCAGAAATTCCAAACAAATTTTAATTGCAGAAGCGTGCAGTCTCATTTGGTCATACGGAATATATTCCGGCTGAATTACAGTTTGGCATATTTTTGTTAGTGTCACAGTGGACTGCTTTTGGCGCCCTCATTGGAAATTATTACATTGCTGTAAGTATACTTTGAAATTACTTTAGACTGCCAACAATTTGGGAATCGGAAAGGAAAAGTGAGGTAACTCACTGAAAAGCGAAGTATTTTTGAAAGCCCAAAAAAAGGGTAGCTACTAAAACTCGGCTCGGCACGGCTCGGCTCGGCTCGGTTCGGTTCGACTTGCCCTCGGCTGCCTCGGCCGGACCTCGGCCACACCTCGGCCGCCTCGGTTGCCCCCTGGCAGTGGCACAATTACCGGTTTATAGTCAAGCGTGAAGTGGGGGAGCGGGGCGGGGAGGTGGGGGGACAGGCAGAGGAGGGGGAAGAGGCAAACGGGGGAAAAGTTGGCAGGGGGACGGGGGGAGGTAACGGCAGTGGGGACGGATGGGAAAGACGGGGATGAGGGGAAGCGGGGACAAGTTGAGCAAAGATAGGGAAAGGTGCAGGGAGGGGTGGGGAGGAAGTTCTACCTAAGCATCAGCAAACGGATCCTGGTTGTTGAAATGAAAATGGGTGACAAAGTTCCGAACACACACATACACAGAGACAACCTGTCGACAACGTGCGTTTTTGTTCGGTGTGACGGCGCTATAACGCTGCACAGCAAAAACGCATATTGTGAGGATCCATGGTGTATGTGTGTACGTGTGTTTATGTGTGTGTGTGCGTCTGTCCGGGTATCTCAACTGAGCAGCCAAGCAAACTCCACCACTAAAATTTCGCCACTGGGTTCCTCGGCCAAGCACCACCTCAAAGATCGTGGTACCAACTTTACGCACGTCTGGGTCCCGTTTGCGAGCACGTGAAAGTTTTGCCAGGAAAATCGCTAATTCGGAAACCAGAACAGGTGTGAAGTTGAAATTTTGAGGGAATCCGTCCGTGAGAACTTGGAGATTTCAAATTCAGCCCCTAGTTGTGTGCGAGGTTCTCGCGTAAGGGGCTCTGAAAATTTTTGGCGGGAAATTCGCTAGCTCGTGGAGCAGAGAAGCTGAGAGGATGAAGTTTTAGGGGGGTGCTCCCATCCCACGTGCAAATTAAAAATTTCAGACCAACCCCCCAGGTGTTCGTGGCCTCACGTACGACCCTTTGAAAGTTTTTGACGGGGAAATTGCCAACTCGGGAACCAGGAAAGCCGGGGAAGGGGAGGGGAGCAGCGATTTTAAGGAGGTTTTCCCAGCACACTTACAATTTAAATATTTCAAATTCGACTCCCAGGCGTGCGTGGTCCTCACGTATGGTCCGTGAAAATTTTTGGCAGGAAAATTGTTAACTGGGAAACAAGGAAAGCTCGGGGACAGAGATTTTATGGAGTTGTTAAAGATTTCGAATTCAGCTTCCAGATGTGTGTGGTTTTCGCATACGAGCCGACGAAAATTTTTGACAGAAAAATCGCAAACTCGGGGACCAGAAAAACTGGGAGGGCGAAATTTTAACGGAATGTCCTCTGTACAAGTACCAAGTAGTTGCACAATTAATTTCCTGAACTTCGAGAACCAGTACGTCAGATATTCTAGATACTGGAATTCAAAGTGATCTTACTACAGCACAAAATACTGCAAAAGCGCATGATCGCTCAGGCCTGCCTGTGGGCTTTGTATTGATTTCATGTTAAGAGCCTTAAAACTCCCGTGGCTGTGCTGATGAGGGAATACAACTTTAGATTGCCGGGCAGGATAAAGAAGACAGAATGGTGACAGGGAAGGGAGGGCAAATCTAGTAGAAGGGAGGCAAGTTATAGCTGTGGAAGGTGTAATGAAGTTAAAACTGTGGATGGACAAGTAAGCAAGAAGTGACTGTGGGAGGAGCCGGATCAGGATGTAAAATGCGGATGGCTGGAAGACTATGGCCTTCTGAGTGTAAGTTCCCTTTAAAACATTTTGTTATCAAATAACGGACAGATGGTAATGATTCAAAAGAAGGATAAAACTCGCCAGGCTTGCCGGTGTGATTATACATTTTTGCACCAAGATTAAAGCAAACAGGTCGTTAGCATTATAGTTAGTGCTACTTTATACTTTCTTTGTTGGTTTTTAGCGTAAATCATTGTAAACTTTGCATAAAGAGAAATGAACAGTTTCTGATTAAGGGTCGTTCTTTGAAAATGACCCAGTTCTTCAGCGAATAATTTTCTTGCCAAGACATTTAAGTACCCTTGCGTGAAAACCACGCATATCTGGAGGCTGAACCTCAAATCTTTAATTAGTACTTGGACAGGGGAACACTCCGTTAAAATTTCGCTTTCCGGCTTTTCTGATTCCTGAGTTAGCAGTTTTCCCGCCAAAACTTCACATGCTTGTACGTGAGTGCCACGCGTACCTGCGTTTCGAATTTGAAATCTTTATGTTGTACTTAAACGGAAAACAACCCCTCGGAATCTCAACTGTCCAGCTTCTCTGGTTCCCATGTTAGCAATTTCTCCGCCAAAACTTTTTACAGGCCCATGCATGAGAATCATGCACATCTGGGAGTTGGATGTGAAATCTTTAAGTTCTGCGTAAACGGGAAACATCTCAAAATTTCGATCTCCCAACTTTTTCGGCCTCCCGAATTAGCAGTTTTTCCACCAAGACTTTCACTTGCTCGTACGCGGGGCTCAGACGTGCGCGAAGGTTGCTACCTGGTCCTGAGGTAGCATGTGGTCAGGGCACTTACTGGAAAAATTCCAGTGCTGAAGCTTGTTTGGTTGCTGAGTTGGAATACTCGGACAGGCAGGCACATACACACGCACACACACACACACACACACACACATACACACACGTACACGCACTTGCACACACACACACACAAGCATACTCATGCACGCACACAATATGCATTTTAGTGCGAAAATGCATATTGTGACAACTTGTGGTGTTTGTGTGTGTGTGTTTATTTATGTGCGTCTGTCCGGGTATTTCAACTCGGCAACCAAGCAGGCTCTGGCGCTATAATTTTGCCAGTGGGTTCCCTGCCCATGCGCTGCTCCAGGGCCGCGTAGCAAACTTCACGCATGTTTGGGCCCCACATGAACGCGTGGAAGTCTTGGCGGGAAAGTCGCTAACTCGGGAATCAGAAGAGCTGTAAGGCTGAAATTCTGACGGGATTTTCCTTGTCTAAGTAAGACGTAGTTGCACAATTAACTTTCTGAACTTTGCTCACTAGCTTGTCACAAATTCTAGCTACCGGAATTACAGAATTACAGAAGATCTTACTACAGTATGAAATGCTGCAAGAAAGCATGATCACACTGGCCCACCTGGTGCGCTTCGCCAACGATTATGTGTTCACAACACTGAAACGTATGTGAACAATGAATTGAAAGATTGAGCAACACACATGAAGTGAAAAAATGCTCTAACAACTTCCTAGCTTCAGTTGTTGAGTTCAAAGTGGGTAGCAGAAATAACAGTAACACGAACACACACACACACACACACATACCAACAATCTCTCGTCAGCATGCGTTCTTGCGTTTTGCGTCTTTTGCAAATGCAACCCAGGCTGGAACGCATAGGGTGGGCCCGTGCGATTATGCACTTTTGCACCGGACTTGAATTGCTCAGGTCATTAACTGTACGAATGGCTGTTGCTTTACACCTGTCTGTTGCGGTCACTAGCATAAATCACCATAAATTCTGCAAAGTAAATGTACAGTTTCCATTTGGCAGTCGTTCTTTAAAAGTAGCCTAGTTGTTCAGTGAGAAATTTTTTCATCAAGACTTTAATTGCCCGTACGTAAGAACCACGCATACCTCAAGGCTGAACTTGAGATACTTAAGTTGTACTTGGACAGGGAACACTCCTTCAAAATTTCAGTTTTCCAGCTTTTCCGGTTACCGAGTTAGCAGTTTTTCCGCTAAAACCTTCACATACTCGTACTTGGGTACTCCACGTGTTTGGAAAGCTGAATTTGAAATTTTTAAATTGCACGTGGGTAGGGAACATCCGCCTAAAATTTCAGCTTTCCAGCTCTTCTGATTGCCGAGTTAGTAATTTCCCTGCAGAAACTTCCATACGCCCTTACGTGAGTACAGTGTATAGCTCGGGGCTGAATTTGAAATATTTGATTGTACTTCGATAGGGGACATTCCTCCAAAATTTCAGCTTTCTAGCTTTCCTCGTACCTGAGATAGCAATTTTCCCCCTAAAACTTTTATACGCCCTTACTGAGTACCATGCATAGCTTGGGGTTGAATTTGAAACATTTGAGTTGAACTTGGATAAGGAACATTTTCCCAAAATTTCAGCTTTCTAGTCTTCCTGATATCCGAGTTAGCAATTTCCCTCCTAAAACTTCCATGCGGCCCTACGTGAGTACCACGCATACCGAGGGCTGAATTTCAATCTTTAGTACATCCACAGGGAATATCCCTACAAAGTTTCAGCCCCTTAGCTCGTGTGGTTCCTGAGATCGCTTTCCCGCCAAAAAATTTGCATATTTTTTTAAGGCTCCCGTGTGAGGCATCCAGGGGGAATGAAATTAAAATGGGAGAGTCGCGCATGGTATGGGCGCATATTCCCAGAGTTTCAGCCTTCTAGCTTTTCTGGTTCTCGAGTTGAAAGTGGTAACAAAAGGTGCGAACACACAGGCGCACATACGCACACACGCACACACACTCACACACACACACACACACTCACACACACTCACACACACACACTCACACGCACACACACGCACACACACACACACACACACAGCCTCTTCCCAATATGCGTTTTTGCAAT